TTATGTATACTATACATATATTGCTGTTTTTATACGTTCATATGCAAACATGTGTATTCATATGAATACGCTTTGTGCATATTCGTAAATCGTATATTTTATCATTCAAAACTTATATTCACATGTATGTATCATGACCATATGTGTTTATGTTCGCTTTCGCGAATCAAATCATATTATCTTTTATCAGTAGTAGCATGTGCGTGCTGCTCATATGTATGTACATAAATATGTGCGTATGACATTGCCACACAAATAATGCATACACAAACCTGCATATGTATTAAATATCTACATGCGCATGTAAATATGTCACTCACAATAACTACAAATATTGTTCTACAAAAACAACAATTGTCTCAAATAGCATCAGCAGCGATACAAGCCAATATGACAGACAAATAGCCGAAGCCCAACTTAGAGTAAATCACACAACATTTTCATTCATGAACGCAAGCAAACTCGCTTCATTTATAAAAGCAGTCACCGTCACATCTCCCCGAAAATACCTTTGCCAACAACCTTTGCTTTTCGTGACAATGGCAAACGCTAAAAATTATAAATTCAACAACTTTCTGATGTTTCTTCTAGAGTGGAAAACTGGCATACCCGCAGAGTGACAAAAGTGGCAACATAGTTCTTTTTGACTTAAAAGATTTGTCATTTCTAAAATATTTTTCCGCGGCTCGCAAAAATCAGCGTCGATATGTATGGATGCAAGCTCATACATAAACATACGTATTTAAGCTGGTTGTAGGCGAAGCGAGCGACATGGGAAGAGGTAACAATCGACGATTGTTCACATATTTTGTTGTGGCGTTTGAAGCATTGAGTATACATATTTACATATGAATGTTGCATATAGACAAATTAACAAATAAATTTGCGTATAATTCTTTTATATTTTTTAACATGCACATATAATTATATATGGGCAAATGTGCGGCCGCTTGGTCTTTTAACATGACTTTAAATTACCAAAACAAATGTATTTAAATATATGACTTATCAAACCTATGTATATATATAAAATGTAGAAATCGTACTCTATTATATACACATAACTCTTTTTTACACGGTTTCTTTTTAAAAGGATTTGAAGTTATTCGTCGCAAACAATTGCGCTTGTTATCTAGTAGCGACGAATAATTATGTAGTTATGAAAATAAGTTTCTTTATTTATTTTCTAATTTTTCTGTTCTTCATTCTGAGTTAATAGGTTTCTTTTGTTTTTTGCTTATCTACCAATTTTTCACCGGTTTTTTCAGTTTTAATGCTCAATAAAATGCCATATGAACATAAAATTTGTATGCTTTTCTGAAAGTTTATAGTTTTAAAAATTTTTTACACGGTTTTTCGAAGTATACATATGCATATAATTCTTTATTTCATCTTACACGGTTTTCAGATGACAAGAAACCTATCTACCGTGTAAAAAGTTGGGTGTATTTGCGAAGGTTTAGTGGAATACATCATAAAATAGGTCAATTAAAACAGCTTTCTTAACAAATACATATATACCGATCTGTAAATTATAGGCAGAGTTGTATGCGAATAGTAAATAAGCGAATCTGTAAGCGTACATTCCTTAACATTGGAATTAKCATTGTTTTTCTCATTTAACACTGAAAATCCTCAATTCTGCTATTTTCGAGGCCTCTGATGTAAAACTCTGATGAAACACGCTTATTATTTATCTGTGGCGAAACTCCTCATCCCTGCCGAGTACTCTGCGAAAAGTTACGATATCTAAATAGTGAAGTGTGGTGTCTCCCTTTTTGAAAAGTGGACAGAGCATACTTAAATTCCAATCGTTGGGCATGCTTTCGTCCGATCATATTTTACAAAGAAGCTGATGCATGTTCCTTATCAGTTCTTCGCCGTCGTATTTGAATAGCTCGGCCGGCAATCCATCGGCTCCCGCCGCTTTGTTGTTCTTCAGGCGGGTAATTGCTATTCGAACTTCTTCATGGTCGGGCAATGGAACGACATCGAGTCGGAGAAGTATTAATTTAAGTATGTTCTGGGCAACCGTCATTTGATCGCCTACGGGGGTTTTACAGGAGATTGCTCTGGTCTTGAAGCCTTCTGTTAGTCGCCGCATCTTTTCGTAGAATTCACTCATTACTCACGCATTTTGGTCTCTCTCCTGTTTGTCTGCAAATGCGTCTCGCATCCCTCATCAACTCTCTACATCTATCCCATCGGTGTGTTGTGCTCGATCATAACGCTGCGAAGTAAGCACTCTGTTTTCTCTCCGCTGCGATACAGCACCACTCGTCGAACCAGCTGTTCGTTTGCTTTTTCCGAAGAGAGGCGTGTGCGTATCTTGGCTTCAACAAGATAGTGGTTCGAGTCAATGTTAGGACCTCGGAGCGTTCGCACGTCTAAAACACTTGAGATGTGTATTCCGTTTATCACAACATGACCGAGTTGGCTGATGACTTTTTGATCCGGAGACAGCCAAGTAGATTGATGAATTTTCTTATGCTGAAATCTAGAACTAACCGTATTTTGGACCTCGGCGAAGTCAATCAGCCTCAACCCATTTAGGGATGTTTCATCATGGAGGCTGAATTTACCGACCGCTGTGCCAAATATACCTTCTTTGCCCACATTGCCGTTAAAGTCGCCAAGCACGTCCTTCTCTTCCATTGGCGCGTGGGCGCAAATCAGAGATATGTTGAAAAACTTTGCTTTGAAGAAAATTGTCGCTAGACGTTAATCCACCGGTGTGAATGCCAGTACACGTGAGCCATATATAAAAGAATCGCTTCTAGCCTCTCCCAAAAATATGTGTTTACCGAACATATTGGTCAATCTGTGAGTTCTAGTATTGAAATGCAGGTAGATATTTTTTGTGATAACACAATTGTTCCAAAAATGGGTAAATTCGGGTAAATACTTACCTCAACCCCTCATACTTAATAATAAGCATAATATAAGAACTTTCGGTTGATGCAGTTTAAAGCATCTTTTGGTCAATATGTAAGAAATCTGGATGAAATTCCAAATTAATGGTTGGTAAGCCATTGGCCTATTTTCAGTCTTTAAAAAAAAAAAAAGCATTAAATGTTTGACTTTTCATTCTTAATAATTCGCTGCAAACTCGTATATCTTACCGCACATAAAAGCTGTTTGAATATTTTTTGAGATCTATTTTTGTGCCATTTTGAATATATTTAAATACTTTTTCTATATATGTACATATTTTTTTAGCCAAAGCGCTCATAAATTTTTATTTCTTTAAAAAAGTCTTAATTCATAATTGCTAGTGCCTCTAGTTTTACATATTATTCTTTATTTTTTATTACAGTTACAAATAGTATACATTCTACTTAAACTTCTTACTACATGTTCTTGTCAAACCTCGTATTATAGATAAAACTACGATGTTCAGGAGTTAAAATGGGATTTATGTATTTAGATGTGCTTTCAATACGTTTACGAAAACGATCTCTATCACGGGCAAGACTCTCCCAATGTCCCTTCCTTGCAGACCTATAAGCGAAGTTCCAGGCATACATCACATGAATTTCGGGATTTAAATTAAAGCGGACCTGAAAAAAAAGTATTTGTTTATAAATAGTATTGAAAATTTTTATGATGTAAAACACTTGGTTACAAAAATTATATATTTTACAACAATAATTCAAAACCTGGCCGTAATATTTATTAAAGGACTGCGAAATATTTTAGACAAAAAACAGGATTTCGGAACACACACACAATAGATGGGGCTGCTGGGACTATTAGCAATTTCTCTAATACGTCAATAATTTAATTATTATTACTTTATTTAAGGGTTGGGATATCTCTAGTACCGTCAAAAAATTTAATTTTTTCCATTTTTATTATGGGAGAATCAAAGCCGATCACGTCCGAATTTTTGCATTTACATATTTATTTATGTATACTACAAAATAAAAATTATTTTACGTAAAAAACAACAAAATGGCGGAAATATCAACGATTCTATTGATTGATTGATTTCTTACGGCCGTCAACTTTCTGACAAGGCGTCTTATTTCAAATGAAAAAAGTAGTTTTAATCAAAAAGCTTTTATCAAGTGCATAGTTGAGGGGTTTTGAGAATTTCGAAAAATCAAAACCAAAAGTCAAAATACTATTTTTCTCGGAAAAGCGCTCTTTCACGCACTTGAGTATAAAATTGTCAATAAAATACACATTAGTTCAAGTAAATCAGTTATTTATTTTATTCGCTCGCAATTTTTTTTTGAAAATTGTAGAGGTATCTCTCCCCATAAGGAAGTGTTTTTAAGACCAAATCATCTGAAAATAATTTATAAAAAGTGATTATTTATTTCTTATTCAAAAACATAAGCATCTTAGATAAATTCTAAAACACTAAACTTTTCTTTTTTTAACACTACATATTTAGACAATATTAAACATTTATCAAGTACTAATTTCAGGTTTTTTAAAACCATTTTAATTAAAAATACTCTTTGATTTTTTTGCACATTTCGGGACAATATTAAGGTTGTGTTTCGAGAAGGTATTTATTTAAAAGAAATGTATTAAGATTTTGTCAAAAAATTCATACACGGTTTATCCGGGAAGTAATAAGGCTGAGTCGATTAAAAAAAAAAGTGAACCAATCGCTATAATTCTTTAAAAAATATCAAAATAAGCTCGACCTGCGTCAATGCAGCGCTACCAGCGCGATTTCTATCGTCTCAAAATGTTTACCTTTCATTGGACTTTTCAGGCAAGGAAACAAAAAAAGTACAGGGACCAAATCTGGGATGTAGGGGGGCTGCGGAAGCGTTGGGTTGCTGACCTGGGTTAGGTAGTGGTTCACAAAAAAAGGCGTTCTGAGCCGTGACATAGACGTGGTGCAACTTCCAATCGACTGCGATATCTTGTCGGACCCCATTGACCCTTCGTTTGTGTCTCTTGAGGAGACTTAGCGTTGACGATTTGTCCTCGAGGAAATCATTCAAGGTGGACCATGCCTTTGGTGTCAAAAAAGACAATGAGCATCGTTTTCACTTTGGATTGGCTCATTCTTCCGGTCCTAATCAGCGACTTCTTCCTGCCCCCGAAAAAGTCTTGGTGCCACCGAAACACACCACTTCTTACTAAAGCAACATCTGCGTAAACCTGCTTGGTCATATCAAACGTCACTTTCGCAGATTTACCGATTCTAATACAGAATTTAATGTTATTATTGTTGTTTTAACGGTTATCAATCACCGTTAATATGGTAAGGGTTATCCAAGTTGTCGTCGACGTCATTTAGCGGAAGGCCCAGGAAACGTGCTGTTTCGTCGGGGTCGGACCAAAGGGAAAAGAGTGAGGTTGGCAGGGCATGCAAAGAGGTGGCCAGTGTCATACGGAGACTCATTACATGCTGGATATATATTAGATATGTCGATTTCTATACTGGAAAAGTAGGAGTTTAACTACAGCATCCAGAACGAAATGCGCTTGGGTCACTCGCGTTTCTTGCGGCAACTCGAGCTCTTCGTCTGCTATGAGTGGTAATTTGTCTCCAAGAACGCCATTCATTGGAAGAGAGTCGGTGAAGGGGTTGATAGCTGTACTATGAATGGCGGTCAGTAAAAGTGACCCTAATTTCAATGTACGTTTACAGATTCGCTTATTTACAATGCGCAAACGACTATGGATGGAGTCAAGTGAAGAAAGTTCTCTGATCGCCATTCACTTGGAAGTGGCCAGAAAGGATTCTTTTACATATGACTCAAGCAGCTCACGACTTCCGGTCTTTGACCAAGTATCCTCTGGGTAGCCTAAGAACATGCGTTTGAAGGCGAGCTAAAGTGAGAAGGCGAAATACCCCTACGATGTGACCAAAGATGCCTTTTATGAGTGATTGGAGCGTACTTATGAGAGGTGCCCCCGCCACGATGTTGGGGTGGGCAAAGAAGGTATCTTTGGCACTACGGTCGGTAAATTTAGCCTCCCCGAGGAAACATCCCCAAATAGGTTGAGGCTGATCGACTTCGCCGGGGTCCGAGATATGGTTATCAGTTATACTAGATTTCAGCATAAAAAGATACATCAAGCTACCTGGCTGTCTCCGGATCGAAAAACCACAAACCAGATCGATAATGTTGTGATAGACGGAAAACATGTCTCCAGTGTTTTAGATGTCCGTGCGATCCGAGGTGCTAACATCGACTCGGACCACTATGTTGTTGCAGCCAAGATTCGGACCGGCCTCTGTGCAGCAAAAAACGCACGCCATTAAACACAAGGAAGCTTCGACGTCGAGAAGCTGTAATCTCAACAGACAGCCGAACGATTTTCTACTCGGCTTGAACTCCTTCTCTCTGAAAGCATTCGTCAACAACTCGGCATTTCAAACTCCTTACGTACAGATGCAACCGAAACCATGGTTTTCGGAAAGTGCAAAAGAATAGCTTATACGACGAGGAGTGCCGTGTCGCAACGGAGAGAAAACAGACTGCCTACCTTGCAACTTTACAATCGACCACAACGCGTGCAGGATAGGATAGATTTAGAGAGTTGAAGATGGAAGCGAGACTCATTTGCGGACAAAAAGGAAAGAGACCAAAATGCGTGACTACGAAGAGCTTAGCACACTAGCCGACAGCGCTGCTCGAATTCTACGAAAAGATGCGGCGACTAACAGAAGGTTTCAAGACCGGAACAAACTCTTATAAAACCTCCATAGGTTATCTAATGACTGATGCCCAGAGCATACTAAAATTAATACTTCTCCGACTCCCCAATCAATGTCGTTCCATTGCCCGACCATGAGGAAGTTCGAATAGCAATTACCCGCCTGAAGAACAACAAAGCGCCGGGGACCTATGGATTGCCGGCCGAGCTATTCAAATACGACGGCGAAGAACTGATAAGGAGCATGCATCAGCTTCTTTGTAAAATATGGTCGGATGGAAGCATGCCCAACGATTGGAATTTAAGTTTGCTATGCCCAATCCACAAAAAAGGAGACCCCWCAATCTGCGCCAACTACCGTAGGATAAGCCTCCTCAACATTGCATATAAGGTTCTATCGAGCGTATTGTGTGGAAGATTAAAGCTCACCGTCAACAAACTGATTAGACCTTGTCAGTATGGCTTTAGACATGGAAAATCAACAACCGACCAGATATTCACCATGCGCCAAATCTTAGAAAAGACCCRTGAAAGGACAATCGACACTTACCACCTTCGTCGATTTCAAAGCTGCTTTCGACAGAAGGAGGAGGACCTGCCGTTATGCCGCGATGTCTGAATTTGGTATCTCCSCAAAACTAATACGGCTGTGTAAACTGACGTTGAGCAACACCAAAAGCTCCGTCAGAATCGGGAAGGACCAACGCAGGATAACTCTTGCCAACAGGTGCTACTTCGGATTGAGTAGGCAATTGAGAAGCAAAGTCAAACACTCCAGTTCTGAAGCTATTCGACGATGTACCCGCCGGGGAAAGCAGAGGAAGAGGAAGACCACCACGCCGTTGGAAGGGCAGGGAAGGTGGAGAAGTACCTGGCTACGCTTGGAATATCCAATTGGCGCCACGTAGCGAAAAGAAGAAACGACTGGCGCGCTGTTGTTAACTCGACTATAATCGCGTAAGCGGTGTCTACGCCAATTAAGAAGAAGAAACGACTATGGATATCATTTATAGATATTATGAAAGATATAAGTATGTATTTGATATCAAAGCATATAAGTATATACATATATATATATGTATGTGTAAGTTGACCCTTTTAATGATGAATGCCATTAAATCTGTTGAAATGTATAATAGTCATATTTGTATTATTACCAAAATATTTCATTAATAAGTATGACAGGTTATATATGTATTTATGTATGAACTTATTTTCTTTGGGCATTAGAAGTTTTGTACATCTTTAACCAAGCCGTCGCACAGATTCACTTATGCATATAATTGCGTGTATATGTAAAAAGATTCTAAAATACCATTCGCATAATGTTCACATATGTATGTAGATATGCAATTTTGTGTGCACGTAAACAAATTTGAAAAAATCGTAAGGATAATGTTTCTAAATTTGTCTACACACAATTTTGTATGTAAATATATACACTCGACGACAAAGCGTCACAGTATTATGTTGTTGGTCACCGCTTTCCTTGCCGCTGTACAGCTTCGCCTACTAAATAGGGGAAATATGTATGTTTGTGGGGTTGGGTACGAAATGCTGTACTATACAATATTCTGTTTACAAAATTCTTTATGCGAAATTCTGTATTATAAAATTCTTTATCCAAAATTATGTATTTCAAAATTCTTTAAAAAATATTCTGTACTGACGAAATTCTGTATTGACAAAATTCTGTATTTGTATTTGTAAGTGCGCACTTTTTTTTATAAAATTCTTTGTATTTCTTATCATTTATTTACAGAATTACGTAAATACAGAATAACCTACCTGGTTTTGTTTGCATTTCTTTTTATCTCTGTTTTTTTTTTTTACTTCTTTTTAATTGATTTCGCTTAAGTTGTTGTTGTCAACCGAGCAATGTAGTTGAACAATTCTAAACAAAATTTCAATGCAGTGAAGTCCCTAA